TTTTTTTTTTTTTTTTTTTTTCTGGTTTCTTGACCTAAAGGAAGGACTTTACGAGTGATTCTTAAAGTTCTTTTTTTGAAAACTGAAAATCATACTCACACACTTCATCAGCTGCTGCCCCAGATCCTGTCCCAATCTACTCTGGTAAATGTTTAAACAAATATGTAATGATCAACAGTAGCCTTAGGTGAAAACTTCTCTCAATTGAAAATTGTCCTAAGTATCAAACTACAGAGTCCAGTACAACTAGAATGCATTTTTAAACGTCACCCTTATATAAAAACTAGATATCAGGAGACCTCCATTTGAACAACGAAGCACTTACCCCACACAGCTCCCGCCGCTCTGCGCTGGGCTTTGTTTTAGCAGGTTCCTCCTTCCCGGCGGGAATGTAATAAACGACCACGCGGGGAGCGCGACCCCTGGGTCACGCGGCGGGCTTCACAGAAGCTTGGGAAGGGGGAGAGCTTAGCCCAGTCGCAGGGACTCGTATCTCAGAAATGCTCATGAAATAACGGAGCTGACGTTTCTTCTCTGAGTTAAATAAACACATACGTCGTTTGGGGATTTTATAGAAATAGACCCAGTTGAATTTTGTGAATTTCTGGTTGCTTAAGGAAAACACATTTTTAAAAAGTCCACCCCCCTTCTTGCCGCTCCTTCCTGCCCCCAGCAGTTGTGGTCACTTTATAGAAAGTGCCGTTTCCCCCATTCCCACCCTTCACACTTCAAGCCCGTGCAGACAGCCCTGTGTGGGGGGAAAGAGAGCGAGGCCCCAGCCCCCCCACGCCGGCGGCCCCAGAGAGCCAACAAAAGCAGGTCTGCTGGCTGCGTCGCGCGGGGCTCAGCACACGCTTGCGAGGAGGGATCTGGAAGAGGCTGCGCCCTCTTGTCTTGGTGTGTGTGCGTGTGTGCACGTGTGTGCGTGTGTGCGATTATGTGCATGTGTGCGTGCGTGCAATTATATACCTAAATGACAACAGCCTGCTTGTGCAAAGAAAACCACCAATATGTGGCTTTAGGCACTGAGTAGAGGCAAACGCTTTCGGACTTAATCCGTAAACGCCAAGCAGTAGAAATATCCTTTCCTGCCGCCCCTCTCATCCGCGAGAGCCGCGGAGCAGCCGCTGGCTTCCCCTCGCACACGGCTTCAGAGGCCAGGCTTGCGTGTAGACTGGCCTGGTGCACCCGTCAGAGTCTCAGGCCAGACACAACGGTCCACAGGACGAGCCCCGAGCCCGCAGAGCGGCCGCCGGCGGGCTGGGAGCGACTGTGCAAGGCGTGTAAACCCCCCTAATCATTTCCTTCAGTCTTTAATTTATAAGTAATTCAGCTACTGCCCTTTCCCCACAACAATGCAAGCACCTTCCGGCGGAGTAAATCGGTATCTCCAACGGTTGCTGTTTTAATTCTTCTTTGCAGTCGAAGTAACTCTGCTCCAGACACAGTCAGGGAGCTCTGGCAAGGTCATCGGTAGCTGCTCCGCTTGCAAAGCGCGGTGCTCACGGGTGGGGAAGCGCAGGGTGCAGGGCGGGGGAGCTCTGCCCACCCTGGCTCTCGCCTGCCTGCCTGCCTTTCACCTCCCCCTCAGACAGCCGCCTGGGGGCACGGCTTCTGGTGTGTTGGGGGGCTCCTGAGTTCTCTGTGCACCTGCACTGGCTGCACTGAGCATCGTTCCTCCGCCGTGAAGGGATAAGAAACCCGCAGTCTCCGCCACCCAATGGACTCCAGAAGCTCCGTGCAGCCGAGTTCCAGAATGCGGCCTGTGCTTCTGGGCCTCACATCCTAGAGCCGAAATTCCAGGTATTTTCATCACGAAACGAGACGAGCCGGGGTCGCCCGGTCATGCTCACGGCATCAGAGGTGCACAAGAAGAAAAACAAGGGGTTGGGTTTTGGGGCAAAAACATGTGCTGTAGGAAGCAATGGAGTGGAGGAGCTTGTCTGTGCCACGGCAGGACAGAGGACCTAGAGGAAACGTCGAAATGAATTAGCAACCGAATAAGTTCGGTTTTGTTCTTCCCGCGACCCTGCAGCTCAGGTTCAGAGCAACCTCGATGTACATGATCCACATTGAGCAGAGCCAGCAGCTCTTCCGTGGAGGGCTAGGCGATAGCCACAGATCTGCATTGGCCCCTCACACCCCCATCCAGGGCTCCGAGTTCAGGGAAATGACATCCTGGGCTTGACTGTGTCCCTGGGATGACAGGCCACGTTAGTCCTCAGAGTGGGGACATTTGGAGTACAAAGGGCTGGCTCAGAGGGGAAACATTACAGTGGGGTCTGATTCTCAGGGGCTGTTGAGGACCCAGGGAGCTGAGTTTGGGTTTCAGCCCACATCCTGTTTCAGTAGAAGTTGCCCTGGGTTTGGGCTGAAGTTCTCGTGTGTTTCTGCGTCATATATCATAGAGGCCTGTGCTTGTTCGGTTGAACTAATTTATATAAACTGTAGCTGCTCACTGACCTCTGAGTAACCGTGAGAAATCATCAGCGAAAATACCAAATAATCACGCTTATACATATCTAGTGACCAGTGAGTGATATACCGGAAATTGATCTGGGCCATATCTAGAACGTTTCGCGTTTCATTGGCACGTGGTCGTGAAGGGTGGATTTTTCCTGTGTGTGGCCAAACCTTTAGGTCTTAACTAGGCCCAAGGGTATGAAAGATCTGCTTCTCTTGCAGCTGAGAGTGTGGGCACTAAAATTAACGCTACACCTTTTCCATTCAAAAAGCTCCAAGTTAGAACCCAAAGAACATCACGCCAGTTGTGAGCCTAGAACTTAGAATGACATTAAAAATGCATGAAGAAGCGGCTTCTCTTTTAGCTTGAGGGTTTGCCCCAGTGAAATATCTATGTGGCAAGAAACAGCCCCTTCTGCCTCGGTTTCTACTAATGCTATTTCCAGTTCTGATAGCAGCTACCCGCGTCATTTCTCGGTAAGAATGTTTGTTAAATTCATGCCTACCAGGCCACATAATGCTCACTCTCAGTGATGTTTACATCTTCAAATATTTGCAGGTTGATATATTGCTCCATCCTAGTCTTCTTTGCCAAAGAACACAAGGTCAGCTCCCTGAATCAGGCTTTCTTCCTTCCTGAGTTACCCTCTGTGTCTAGTCCTACCCCTTGAGAACACTTCTGAAGTTTACCTTTGCTTTGAAGCATCATGAAATTTGGCATCATCTATGCTCTTCCTAAGAACCCCATCCCCACATACCTGCTAGTAGTTAAAGAAGATACGAGAGCCCTGGAGCACTTTGTCTAGAATTCTCTACGTCCTAAGGAATGAGGACCATCCCTGACTTCTTTATCTTTTTAAAAGCCCAGGGAAAGAATTTATATATAAACAGATTGTGAGCCTCATCACATACAGACACATATTTATAAGTGACAGCACCGTGGGTGTGCAGTTAGCCTGAACATTCATGCTGAAACCGACTGTGTAGTTATAGAGAGCATATTTCAACGTCAACAATGTCACAACCCAACGTTGCTTTATTTTTAATATTTTGTCCTGTTTAATAAATTTTAAATCTACAATTCCCACCTAAGGTTCATATTGAAGATTAAATGTCTCCCCAAATTGCCCTCTAAACAGTGTTTGAAAAAAACCACAAAGTGCTGTCACCAGGATATTGATTTACCACCACGCTTTAACAAAGGAGCTGGGTGTTAGGTCACATGACTCAATTCCTGGCAGCAGGAAGACTGTGATAATCTGATCAGTAAACACTCAGGTTCCAGCTCTGGCACCAGC